AATAGATCAGGCCTTCTGGGAGCCCGGATTGTCCTGATTGAATCACATATCGCACTGCATTTCAAGTGGGACCCAATGACACCATGGCAAAGCAAGTTCCCCCCAAAAGTTTGCAACGCACCCCTGCCCTCTCCAAAACAAGCACATACCTCGTTGACAGCCCAAGTATCCCCAGCCCCGGAATGCAGGAATGCAGGAACCTGCCCCAAGTACCCTCAAACCAGGATTGGCTCAGGCCCGTGGCTGTTGCAGCTTCAGACCAAAAACACAACAACATATAGCTTGGGTCAAACATAGGGTAACTTTCAAGAAATCACACAACTTGCCTGTAAGAAAGCCTGGTTTCTGGAGATTACCCCCTGCAAATACCAACAAGCAAATGGTTTCAGACATAATTTCAAATTGGTGTAGGATTTCGCCCATCCACAGTATGGGTCGGTGACACAATCATGTCCGGTGCCGTGCAACGCTGGATCCACTTGTGATCCATGCACTAAGATCAAAGCGCCGAAATCCAGTATTGGTATGGGTCGAAATTAAACCGCAGGTGTTAGTCTACTTGTCCATTTAGGCAACCCATTGGACCTAAAAGTAGGGTCCTTTTTGGGAAATAGATGGCCCTGGTAGTTAATTGAACCACCAGGTAAACCAGGGCCCTCTATTTGTCAACCAAATCAACCAAACAGTAGACCTAAAAGTTGGGAGTTGTGGTTCATATCCTGGTGGCATATGTTTGTTTTTGCCCCACCATATGGCCATGGGTCAAAATTCCGTACCCCCAGTGAACATTCTAATCCCCAATAAAATGGGTTCCAAAATGGGTGGTGCACCTACCCCCAAGATGGGATCCCAATGGCTTTGCCCCACCATTTTTCTTGTCACAGAGCAGCCAGCAGCCAATTTCCCCCCCTGCCGGAATCCCGTCCCCGCCTGGGTGCACGCATAGGCCAGCGCTGCCCGGCGCACGTACTCCGGGCGCGGCTCCTCGCGGCTGATGAAGCGCTCCATGGGCCCAGCGGCGCCTCGCGGGGGGAGTTTTCGCGCGTTTTTTGGGCGCCGTCCCACGCGTTTTTTGCCCCAGGGCGTGTAGGGGTACCTTCCATTTCCATTCTTCCCAGGGATCCTTCTTTCTAGAAGGCGGTTTTGGGAAAGAACGATGGTTGAGAAGAATGGGGAATCAACCCCTAGAACTTCTGTGCTACAAGGGCCTCACAAAGACTATCCCATAAGAGGAGATTCCCTTGTATCACAGTGGGGATAAGCCTCTTGATCCCACAAACATGGTTTGGTCTGTGAAGTGATTCCTTAGATGTTGAACATTAGCAAGGCTATGACATATTCACTTTACAACTGAATGGCTGTAAGTGCAACAAGTCGGGTGGAGGAACTGCTACAGTCATATCGTCTACTTCCTAAATCTGAACATCAAAGTTTAGGGTTGCATTGCTGAGCACGATGTTTTCCAAATCACTTCGAATTCTTTGGGATTACTATAGGTTTCCTCTGGGCGTCGGGCTCTCCCGTGAGCTGCCGTGAGCTTCCGTTTGCTTGAGCAACTCGTCTTAGCTGCCTTCCTTGGGTCTGATCGCGGTTCTGATTGCCTTGTAGTGGCAGCAAGTACTTGGCGAGTGGCCAGCCCTTTAGTGACCCCCGTGACAAGTCGCACAAGTTACCACAGTAGACATTGAGGAACAAACGCCATACAAGTCACTAAACTTCTCTGCATGTTTGTTGTATACCCAGCAATGCACGACGTATGCTCACTCCACTGCAACAAAAGAAGCCCATGTTAGCCAATCAATGAACCAATCAATGAACAAATCAACCAACCAACCAACCCGCCAACCAACCAAGCAACCAACCAATCAATCAATCCATCAATCAATCAATCAATCCATCAATCAATCAGTCAATCAATCAAATCAATAAACCCATCCATCAAACAATCATTCAATCAATCAATCCATCCATCAATCATTCAATCAATCAATCAATCCATCAATCGATCGAATCCAATCCGATCAAACAAGCAAATCAATCAAACAAGCAAATTAATCATTCAATCAATCAGTCGATCAATCGAATCCAATGCAATCAAATCCAATCCAATCAATCACCCAATCAACCAACCAACGAATCAATAGAATCCATCAGAACCATAAACCAATTAATCAACAAATTAGTCAAGAACACGAATAGTAAAAACAAGCGACCAACCAATCAAACAACTAACGAATCCATCCATAAGGAACCAATAAATCAAGGAAACAATGATTCAAAACTAAGCAATGAATGAATGACTAAATGAATGAATGACTGAATGAATGAATGAAGGAAGGGAAGAATGAAGGAAGGAATGAATGAATGAATCAATTAAGGAATGAATGAATTAACGAATCAATCAAGTAATCAATGAACTGAGTTGACACCAAATCAATCCACACCAGACCAATCCAACAAGGTTCAATGCACACCAGTTTGACCCTTCCAATCCAATCAGCCAATCAGTCAATAAAATTAGCGCATGTCAAATGAAACAGAACAAATCACCGCCAACCCAATCAAGTCTAACTAATCCAATCAACCAACCAATCAATCAACCAAAGAATCACATCAAGCAAACAAGTCGAGACACGAGAAGGAACAACCACACACCACAAACAACCAAACAAAAAGCAAGCCAACCAAGCAACCGACCGTCCGACCGACAGAGCGACCGACCGACCGACGAACAAACAGCAACCAATCGAACAAACACACACACACACACACAAACAGAAACCAATATACACACAACCAACAGCATCAAACAACCATCAAACAACCAACTTGCCAGCCACCAACCAACCAACCAACCAACCAACCAACCAAGCAAGCAACCAACCAACCAACCAACCAAACAAACAAACAAACAAAGCAAGGGGACACCTGCCAACCACACAAACACAATAACAACAAACACAAACAAACGATCGAACAAACGAACAAACAAACAAACGAACAAACAAACGAACAAACAAACGGCCAGACAATCGAACGAAGCAGACACGAACAGATTCACCAACAAAGCACAACCAACATGCCGCAAACATAGCCATTAACAGTAGGTGGCAATAAACTCTAATGGGGGGAACACCCACAGAATTGGTTGGGGGACATCAATCCCCATGTAAATCAAGTCCACCCAAAGCGACCCAATGTTGAAGTCAAAACACCTGAAACACCGACTCCTGGCCCTAAAGCTGCAAGAAGGTGCCAAAGCAAACTCAGTGGCAATGAACAACTGCTTTGGGTAAGTCCCGAATTCGGGGATCCTCCTTTAGCTGTTTAAAGGGAGACGTAACGTCAGCCAGGTTGGTGCCTGCCCCGCCCCTTCGCTGGCACCTGTGGGCGCCTCCTCAGCCATGCGCATCGCCATGGCAGATCCGTGTGCGGGTGTCGTGCTGGGAGTTCAACGAGGGCCGAGCGGCTGGCGGAAGGGCCACGGGCTAAACGCACGAACTTGCGCGGGTTCATTACCGCAATTCACGTGGAAAATGGGTCAACACCCGTACCTGCAGTGCAGATCCCAGTCCCCACTAAAATACACTAACATGGGTGGTGCACCTTTCCCAAAATGGTACCATCGGTTTTGAACCATGGCCACATGGAAAATGACCTGGACCCGGTCCCTTTAAAAGGAAAATGGTCCAAAGAAAAAAAGACCCCCCGAAACGCCAGGTTCCATGTTAATTTAATGGGAGGGTACTAAATGTAGAAGGAAACCTGGGCCTTGACCGAAATGAAAAAGCACTCACCAACAGCAAAACGAAATATATACATATATATATGCTATGTTGTCTGCTTGTCAATGTTGGGCCATGTGCGATTCGTGGTTTATCATTTGTAAACAGAACGCCGCAGTCACTTCGCTCACTGATGATTGATTTAGATACTCATTCAGGTGTCGGTGGATCCTGGCTCCTCCCTAGCCCATGATTGCGCGTGGACTCAATATTTGTCATTTGCGTTGTCGAGATGGTGGATATGCAGTATGTCCCCAGAATCTACTCATTGCGAGGTTCTGTCAACGCAGAACATCGCGGGGATACCGACAGGCCGTTGCCTTGACTTGATAGTATGAGGGAACCCTCTGGCTTATATTCTAGAGGAACGATACGCAAGCGATCTGCTGAGGGACGTGTGTTGAGTCTGTTAGTGAGAAGCGCAACCTTGGCAAGGCATACATTCACTGCCCCCTTCTGAAAGGACGAGACAAAATCATACACAAAAAAGGCCAACCTCCTCAAGGGATGGATGACACCCTAAAGTTGGCAGACGACCAATCCGAGCTGGCCATGCCAACTTAAATTCTAATCTAATCCACTGTTTCACCTTTGGGAGCCGCCAAAGCAAACTTGGAACAACGCACGGTCAAATGGTTTCGCTTGCTGGGGGAACCATCCCGCAATCCCCAGATTGCCAGGCAACACCCACCAAGGAAGCAAAATGGCCCAGCAAGGGGATGCTTCAATGGTCCAAGGACCTTGGAATGTACTTTGACCGCTTGTTAGCCAACCACCATCCTCAGGGGGGACTTGCACCAACTGGGGAAAAATATCAACCATGTACTACATGGGCCTGTGTTTTTTTCAGAATGAGGTTGCGGGGACTGTGAAACCAACACAAGTCATGCGTCATCACACAGAATGATCTCATGTCATTCTTCATCCCCTTCTGAGGGATATCTTTATTTCCCAGCATCACCTCACCGAAAGACAACTCAATTGAAACTGCCCCGACTGTTGATCTTTAAAACCGCTTAGGGTTTTATGGTGTGTTTTTTTGCGGGGACCCCCAACATATTCCTTGGTGTTACTGTTGGCTTCCCTTTGGTGTTCTTCCCAAAAAATAGGACAGCCCCCCATTTGTCTTGGTGGCTTCCCCTGAAGCTTCCCCAAAAACCGGACAGCCTCCCGTGCTCGGAATCCTTCTCGCCCGCAAAACCGGGCGCTCCGGGCAAATGCTCTGCTCCCTTAGCGCGGTGGCGCCGGGGCCGAAGTAGGCCAGCTCCGGGTAGACGTGCGAAATCCGCTCCTCGCCGCAGAAACGCCGAGGGCCGAGGGGAGTTTCGTCCCAAAGCCGCGGGTTGCGAAATCCGTTTTGCGCCATCTAAGGAACCATGGGAAACTAAGAAAACCTACGGAAACCACTGACTTAGCCCGAAACGCCCCAATTCCACCTCCGCTTCGCGAAGGAGACAAGGACAACAACTGAAACAAATGGTATAATTTCCAGTATGGTCAAACCGTACTTGACAATGGACACGGAAGCCCAACAAAAGGTCCTTGACCAACGAGAAGTTCCCTCCACACTTAGGTGTTGAATCCGGTAGGGCAATTATCTGGGTGCTACCTGGGTGCGGGTCGGCTGGGTTCTTCTCTTTCACGACATCCGTGCCCGGGCGCTTTCCGGACAAGGGAAACACCACATGGGTATGGGTCAAAATTAAGTTAGGGGATCGCAGGTTTTAGTCCTCAGGGTTCCATTTTGGGGTTGCCCTATGTTTGAGCCACACATGGGGTGCTGCCTTTCAAAACCCCGCAGCTTCGAAAGTGCCGCCATGGCACTCTGAAACTGCGCTCCGACAGCTTGTGGTCGCCTCAGATCCGACTCGCGCGCGAAGCGACGCCCTGGACGGTTCTCCCGCGCAACAGGGACAAACCCAGGCCGGGCAACAGCCAGTATTCATGGATTTCCCTGCAGGCCCCCTCGAAACATTGCCAGACGCATTCTCAAATATGGGCAGTTTTCAAAGTGAAGACGTAGAAATCCGGAAGACTTGCAAACAAATGCCTTTGTACAAGTCGAGCTGAATCTCATTGGATTGGACCCCGAAAAGCATGACTCGGAACAAGTAAACGACGTGTCAAATGTCTTGGATGCGACATGATCTGTGGGCTCGAACCAAAATGCCACAAGCAAAATGCAACTTGCTCAACCCAACCCCTTTGTAGTGTTTACTAGTCACTCTTGAGAGAGTCAAGGACACAACGTACACCCTATGGTAGCGGTCTAGCGGGTGTCATCCTTAAACGAACCCTGATTTAATCACGGGAATCCAGCCAGATTTGAGTCCCGAATTTCCCGAATGGCCCATGAAGCATTTGTACCCCTGGCCAAGTCAGCAGACCCAGCGGCACAAAAAAATGATTCAAATCCTACACCTAGATGTTGATCGGCAAGTCAGGAAACAAAAAACTTAGAACGAGCTGCGCCAAGTCCTTAGGCTAGATTCATGGGCCAAAGCTAAAAATTCCAACCTTTGTCCTCAAATCCCTGCTAAAAGTGCCTAACTTTTAGCTGGTTAACAGGAAATCCAACAAGCTAAGGAACCGAATGGCTGGGAACCGCCAAGCAAAGTGGAATGATTGGACGGCGCGAACCCCGTTGGATCAAAGGGAGTAGAACCCGCGGCTTGGCCGAGGGCCTAAGGGGCGCTGAAGCGAGCGACGTGGCGAGTTCCTGGTACCAGTCACCCCAACGGAAACAAGTTGTGGTCCGGCACATCTCAAGGAAGTCTGGGCCAGTTGAAGCAGCAAATGCGCACAAGGAGAAGGCGAATGAGGAGGAGGAGCAAAAGGAGAAAGCAGAGGAGAAGGAGAGGAAGAGAAGCCAGATGAGCAAGAGGAAAAGGCGGAAGAGGAGGAAACGAAGGAAGAGGAGGAAGAGGAGGAAGAGGAGGAAGAGGAGGAAGAGGAGGAAGAGGAGGAAGAGGAGGAAGAGGAGGAAGAGGAGGAAGAGGAGGAAGAGGCCTGATTTCAAATTGCAAAACATTCCCAAAGCAAACACCAAGTGGCGGAGCTCTGTGCAAAGGTCAATCGCCTCTGAGTTCAACTTTTGCAGCACCTGCTGATTGGTGACCTGAGTATTCCGAAAGCGCTGGTCGTCTGAGAACCCCCCCGGTGAGTGGAGCAACCAATAGACACCCTCTACAGGTCAGCGTTTTCCAAGCTCTCGGCCTGCAAGGTTGGGTGAGTTGAGAAACAAATGGGCACTAGCTGAAATCACGGGTCAAACAAAATTCAAAGTCAGTGTGATGCCTCTCAACAAAAATCATCTTGTAGGTCACAGCACCAGTCTTTCTTTCTATGCACCCGTGACAAATATCCTACCTCAAGCTTCAAGTGCTGTTCCGCTCAAACACTGAATGTAACTACTGAACGTAGCTCGCCTCGGTGTTCCACACACAAGCATTGGTAGCTCGCTTGCTGATGTTCCTTAACACCCAACATTATAGGTTGTTGTTCACCGTCTTTGAACAAACATGTCATGGCAGTGGCAAGAACTGCTTTGCTTGCATGAAGCAGAAGGTGATGGGGTAGCCGAAATTAAATCATAAACAAGTTGGTACGATGGCCGAAACGGTTCATAAACAAGTTGTCATTTAGACGGTGAAAGCTAGCTGAGTAGTAAAGTAAAACCCCGCGCATCCCGCCCGAAAACCTTTGGAAACATGTACTACCATGTGCCGCCAAGCAGAATTGTACCGATTCACCAACCCACCATGGCCAAATCAGTGATTATAATCAAAACCTAGTATTAAAAAGCATGTCGTGTCGCAAATGATGAAAAGGGCCGCAGCATTATTTAAAAATATATATATATATGGTTGGAACTATCCCTCACTAACCTTGAAGCCGAATCTGTGTCGATTGCTCAACTCTTCCCAAACTTCCAGGTTGGGAGTCACTGCCCAAGTGGTCGGCCGCCTTTTGGCGAGTATGGTAGCGTTTTGCACGCGTCAACGCAAAGCGAAGTCGTGTCTTCTAAATGCTGAACTCACAACTTGCCTGGCCAGTCTTCACAACTACTCTGATCACAAAACAACAAACAAAGGTTCTCAAAAGGATGTGGGCACATGACTATCATGCAGAAGCCAAAAGCAAGGACCCCACCCCACCCGCCCGCAGCAAGGGACCTTCATAAGTGAGCTCGGATACTCCCGGTGATATCGCTATGTGTTCTTGGCAACAAGGGCTGTTCCAAAAAAACGTGTTGGCCAATCCCAGCCCATATGCGTTTTATCGGGAGACCACTACTAGGTCCTCCAGGGTACCTTTTCTTTTCTGTGGTCTATTGTGGAAGGGGAACCCTCCCCCCAAAAAAGGGTCAAGGGGCAGTACTGGGGGACATAGAATAAGGATCTTGCAGACATTGGAACCGCCCAGAGAGCAAACGGAGCCTCTAGGTTTTTCCAGCCGAGGCCCCAGCGGGGATCCATACCTTTGGGACCACATCCACCTCCAAATCGTAGGTGCGCTTCCTCGTCCCGAAAACCGTCGGTTCCAAGCGCAGTGTTTCTGGGTTCCCTTTTTGGGGGCTTAAAGCGAAGCCACCCCAAAAGGGGGGGTCTCCAACTTTGACACGTAGAGTGGGGCGAAGTTGGTTCTTGTTTGCGTCTAATATCAAGGGAGAATGGCCGTCCAATGGGCCTCTCCCGATTCCATCCCCCCCCAGTGGCCCTGGGAGAAGAAGCCCAGTTTGGGGCTGTCTGCTTGGCAACCCAACAGAAAAGCTTTCGCTGGGTTGCATCCGCTGAACTGGGATCAAGGGACGAGTGTGGCAAGTAGACCTCCGGACCGAAAACCCGGGCTTTGTGTAAGGGGCAGTTGATTTTAAAGGGTTGCTCACCTGGCTTGCGCTGCGCAAAACAAACAAACAAAAACAACTCAAGCAAACTAAAAGACAACTGATGTCTCAAAGAGCGGTAAACAGCATGGTCCTCAAAATTAAAGAAACCCAAAGGCTAGCGAGCAGAGCAGCACGCCTCTCCACATGGTCTTGTTGATGTTCTTGAAGGTAACCAAACAACCAAATGAAGGTTCCGTTTAGACTCAATGCAGGGTTTGCCTTTTTGCAACATGTCCAGGGAAAGTTAAAACATGACCCGGAGTCCTTTAGAAGCTTGGTCAATCATTGGGTCTGTCTCATACTACTGGAACACGCTCTAAATGACGTTGAAGGGAAGCCAAAACGAAAGCTACCTGAAGGAGCTTACCTCTGAGACCCGGGAAACATGATGATCGGTGGCAACTTGTGAAATTCCACCATGTGCTGCAGTCCCCTAGAAAGAGTTCCAGTAGCGTTAGCTGCCGCTACACGCAACAGTCGGAAATACCAACAGCAACACATAAACATCCTGCACAAAACCAGGAAACACAAAAAACACCACCACACCCCACCCCCCCCAAAAAAAAAAAAACAGAACCCCCCCTCCCCCCCCCAAGAAAGAAAGAACGATCGCCCCCCCAGAAATGAACTCCACAGAACCACTCGCGCCGCATCCGGCAGCTCGAGCCACGGGCGAGTGCCTCACGCCCAGGCGCAGCTCGAAGGGCACGTCCTGGAACTTCGCGGAGCCCACGAAGTGCGCCGCGAAGTGGGCCAGCTTCCCCAGGCGGATCCGCACCTGGCGGAAACCCGGGCGGAGACCGGGAGAGGTGTGGTGGGAGAGGTGGCAAGGGAAACCTAAGGTAGGCTTAAGGTAGGAGACGAAGGTTGAAGCCGTAAAAAAGAGACGAGGGAAAACCAGGAATGCAAGGGCAAAAAGCGAAGAACAAGGCGAAGACAAGGGTTTTTGGACCCTGGTGCCACGTTGCTTCGCTTTGGGTTGCTCACTGCCAACCTCTTGGTGACCTTCCAAGGAGGGCAGTGCAGTGACCCCAGCTGCAACCAGCGACCGCAATGGTAGAGAGAGGGAGCCCCTTTTGGGGAGTGCTATCTTTTTTAGCAGGGGCCCCATCACACAAGAAGGAACACAAGACCAACAGGGAGTTTAACGTGCCAATGCTGAAGCTTCCAACATCCCGGTAAACATCGTTCAGCCAAGTCCCAAACAATTTGCGCAATAATGGCAGGGCTAATTGCCACTCTTGGCTAAATGCTCAACTACACCTTCCACATTGCAGTCCCACTTGCCCGAAATCCCAAAGGTAGTCAGCCAAAAAGGGCCCGGAAGGTTGCCGAAGTTATGAAACCCTTTTAAAGATGGCACAACTGCCACAATCCTCAACGGGTGCCCTATTGTGAAACTGACCTTCAGCTGCAAAGTCCTTACCAAGTGCTCGCGGAGAACAACAACTGCTGACAAAAACGGATCGAACTGTGTGGGGTGTTCCTGAAAATCCGCATGAGGCCAACACAAGTCATCTCCCGTTAGGTGATGCGTTGGGGTTCCACGAGTATCTGCAGTACTCAAATGAAGGACGCAATGCATTTCAAGCCAAGCAGCCATGGGCGCCCGCACATCCTGAAACTCGAGCTCTGCAGCATCGTAGACCCGCAGTAGGGTACGGGTGGCCTGACAGCCAAATTCTCGAGACGAGGGCGGAAGATTTGGACCTACTGTGGATAAAATCTTGCACCAGTTGGGATTGATGAAACCCTGCAAATAACTACCAACAGCTACGAAGCGGATCTTGCCCATCCCACGGTAGGGATCGGCCCAAACCAAGTCGAAAGGCGGGCACATCTCAAGGCGAAGGCCTATGCATTTCAAAGTTCTCCACAAATCGACCCTGCAAAGCGTGTAAGTATGCTCCTTAGGTGCAGTTACTTCTATACTCCTTGTATCACCCCCAAATCATGAATTGACGTCTAAGGCCACATAGAATGCGTGTCCGTGGTGACACCCCTCTCTGGTATCAACAAATACACCAGCCACTCATCAGTCGTGAAGCTTCCCATGCGTTGCCAGTAGCGATCGCAACGAGTCAGGGCACTTGCAAACATCTCCACTTGGTGAGCAAAACGCATCTGGTTGCCCCAAGCACATTTGGTAACAACCGACGACGGAATCCATGGCCGAAGGTGCGGAAGGGAAACCGAAAGAGAAGTAAACGGTTGCAGGGGTGCTTTTGTTTGGACAACGAAACGCGGACACGCATAGAACATTGCACAAGCACGACTTGAACATGGTGTTTGGGAGGTTGTTGGTGCCAATGTGAATCCAAACGAAGGCTTCATCGACTCAGATGAGGTCTTTGGGGTCAACTGTGCATCCAAACGAAGGGTCGACCCTGCAGCATGCCAGACATGATCGGTCATCCATGAGTGGAATGAGACCCACCTCCGAAGAAAAACGGATGTGGTTTTACTGATCTTGCCTGCCAAGAATGTGCATGGCTCTGTACGGGAACCGCGGTCAACGCTCCTTTTTTCTGGCGGGGCTCTCTACCTTAAGGGCCTAAATTTTAATAAATAGAAAGAGGTTGTGGGGTACTGTTGAACCACATTAGGGCATGATTCTGGGACAACCATGTACGAAATCATTTGGCTTCCTACATTACCCCCCCTCCCACAACCACATCCCTGCACGAGGTTTAAACAACAACTCATATGAGCGCTCGTCATATGAGTTGCCATCCGCTGGTTTCGAGTAGGGCCGTCCTTTTGCCACCTGGGAGAAGCTCGTGGATGATCTCCAAAAAGAAACTATCGACATTTAGGGTTTGTACCCTCGGAGCAGAGCACTGGTTTCCTAAACGTTTCTGAGGGAAGGGCAATAACCAATGTTGGTTGGCATTCCCCAGGCGGGTTTCTTGGAATCGCGCATCCGTGATTATCATAATACGCATGCTACGCCTTTCTAGAACATGAACGGCAAGGTGATGTGCCGGTTGGAAATCCAAAACTACTTTTTCGGAATGCTCCGTGGCCCCTGAACTGGCCAGAACAGTCAAAGTGGCTATGGCTCTGCAGTTGGGAGTTTGTCAACATATCGGATCCCTTTTGGCTGGCCTTTTAAGGGCAACAACAGGACGCCAACTACTTAGGGGGGACTTTGAGAACTCTCCCCTCGCCCGCCCCATGTCTGATTCGAGGCGCATCCCGTTTGAACGGACCAACCCGGGCTTTAACAGAACTGCACCCCATGGCCGGACGCTCCAGCCTGGGTGAGGCCGATCTCTGGGTTGTCCCGGGCCTTCTCCAGGAAGGAGGCGGCCTGCGAAAGACAAATGGGGACCCTGAGCTACGAGCAGAATCTCCGCCCATGTACCCATGGGTCAAAATCCAAATCGTACCCCCAGTGAACATCCCAATCCCCACTAAAATAGACCAAACTGGGTGCACCTACCCCAAGATGGGATCCCATTGGTTTTGACCAACAGCCATGTTGGACCCTACCCTTTTTCTTCTCCCCGTCCCCCACCAGCTGAAAGGCTCTGGGGTGGTTCGGGGCAGCTTTCAACAAGGGTTCCGGCGGGCTCCAGAACCTTCCGGGGTTGTTGGGGATGTATATATATATACATATATATATATATATATGTGAACAATATATATATATATACCAGGTAACAATAACGAGTCATGCTAGGGATACACATATGTATAGATATATATATGAGCGAACATGTATATACATATATACGACATAGAAATATATATATATATATATAGACAACAAACAATTATTGTCTGTGTGTCGCGCTTTTGCCATCCGCCTGCAGCACCGCGTAGACTGGGCGCTCCTCGCCGGCGGTGACCTCGGCCGCCTCCGGCACGTGCTCGCCGCTGCCATTGGTCAAATACCTCGCGCGGGAATCCGTGGCCGGCACATGCCAAGCGCGGAACATGCAACAAAAAACCCAACCAAAACACCGCGGAAAAGTGGCATGCACCCCAAAAAGGTCGCACGAAAATAAGAAAAAGAGAGAGATGCCTGTCATAATTTGAGCTTCAATGTGTTCTTGTCCAAGCACGAAGGATGCGATGCAACAGTTTGGTCGGTCCAAATTAACGGCTCCTTTGGGTCCAAAAGCCTCAGGTGAGTCACTTGCTCACAACCCGGCATCAAAATGGTACCAAAACGGTTTTGACCCACAGCCATGTAAGGTCAGGTCCCCTCAAAGGACCCCCCCGCGGGTCTTTCCGAACGAAAGGGCGTCAGTTGAGTCACAATCAATCCCGGTAATAAAATGGTCGACCCACAACCATGCTTCAAGAATTAAGAAGGAGGAGATCCGCAACTATTTCTGGCTGGCCGGGACTGCCCCATACTAACCTTCATCTACCCGAATCGGTTTTGAGCAAGTAAGTGGCTCAGGCCTTTTGGACCCTGGTAAATCGAACCCTGGTAAATGGCAACATGGACTATTCCTTTTTGGTTTCCTCAGGTGGGTATGGGTCAAAATTAAACCAGGAGGTTTTAGCCCATGTTCCCATTGGCCATTTGGTTCCATTTTGGGGTTACCCTATGTTTGACCCACAGGGTGGCCCTTTTGGCGCGTCCGAGACACTTCACCATACGGTTGTACTCCTCCGGCGCCAGCGCCTTCAACGCCTTCTCCACGTTCCCCGCGTCCGTGGCGTCGCCTCGCCAAAAAGAGCTTCTCGAAGGGGGGCTCTGGCCCCCTAAGGGGAACCTCTTTTAAAGTATTTGTTTCTATTGGTAACTTCCGGTGCAGAAGAGCACTCTAAGTAACCCAAGTCGGCCACGACCACTCTAAAGGTTGCTTCCCCATTCTTTCCAGGCATGCCTTCTTTCTAGAAAAGCCACCGAAAACCCTGGATAATTGGCTGGTGTTTGAAAAGAACGATGGCTGAATAGAATGGGGAATCAACCCCTATAATTTTACTGCTGTGCTCATAACCTCTAAATTGACTGCAACGCTGAAGAAAACTACTGTGTGTCTTTGGTTTCTGTGCTTTGCTCCCTCACCCGCACCGCTCCTGTTGAAACACATCCGTCCAGTTCTACGTGGCGCACACGCGTGCCAATCTCTTCCCATGAGTCCCACGGCGAATCTAAAGTGAGGTGACACAGCAGTTGACCCAACGAAGCACAACAAGCTCACAAACAAAACACAACGCCCAAAACATTCCTCAGTTGTGTTGCTTCCTCGATTCGGTGTAGGTGCCGCCATTCAAGTGAGAGCTGCTCAAAAACGACAGGTTTCATTTTGGGACCTTTAGTTCAAACAACTTTGGCCGTCCTTCCGTCCCCCGGCACGGTCCATCCAAGTGCAACCCGTCGAGCCGCACAATCAAAGATTCGGCTACTAGACCCCGGGACCATATCCCTTCAGATTTACCTCAAGATCATTGCTAACCTGTTCAAAATCATTGGGGCCTAAAATACTCAAATGCGCTTAATCCTTGTTCTGCAGTTGGAAACCTTCATATTCCGCAGTTTGTGCTGCAAAGTATGACTCGGAATCTTATGCTGGGTCATTGAAACCCCATACAACCCATGATTCGAAATCCGTAAGGGCACAGGTCCAATCCATAAACCGCAAAATCCGCAATCCGCTTGTCGTGTTGAACATGAGTTGGTATGCCATGACTTCTTCCTTTGTTGTCGGAAAGGTCTAGGGCAATGTGGTCGGGAAAGCGAGACATTCAGCGTATCGGCGCTGAATATGAGACTCTCCTGACACCCCATCGCCCAACCAGTTAGTCTCAAAAGCACGGTTGGCCAGACTCGCCGAGCCGAAACCTCACAACACCTCTGGTCCATTGGAATGACATGCTCAAGCTTGCCCTCTTCTCTCGTGGCTTAGAGGAAAACCTTCAACCCCCTGCCATAGGTGTCCTTTTAGGGGAAATATAGATGACCCTGGTAAAAACAGCCAAAAAGGGCACCTATGCCCCCTGCCCTCTCAATTTTCAGGGGCCACAAAGCACGTCACCAGAGCCCGAGCCCGTCGCGAGCGAGCCGAGGGGCGGGAGGAAGCGAGGCAGCTGAGCCTTGCCACAGCCTTGGAGGCGCCGTCCGACTGGTTGAAGCTCAGGTGCACCGCCTGTCGCATCCATTCGGTCAAAAGAAGCTGAAACCCAAAGTGCTACATGAAATGAGCGAAATATCCAGACACAAGCAATATCATCCATCCCATTTGGGCGCCAGTTAAGCACATTTGAGAACTACGGGCTGTTGAGCAGCCGGGAAGCGGCGAATTGACCCCCCCCTTTTTTTAAAAAAAGGAACAAAACTAGAAAAACCCAACGTAAACGTAGTTTTGTCTGAACGCGCCCAGACATACAGGGAGACACACGCGACAACGCACCAGGAGACAGACACATACACAAACAGACAGACAAGACACACGGGCACACACGCGCACACGCACGCAAAACACGCGCGTACACACACATTCACAGCAGACACACACACACACATATTGTTTAAATCAAAAAACAGCCAAGCAACTCGTTCCCGATTGTTCCATTTGACACATCTACATCTACCAAGACTAGTCGGTACAGGCACGCGGAAAGGACACCAACCGCCCGAAGGGGAGCATACTGTTGATTTCGGATCAATCCAGCTGTATCATGAAGCGTTCCTTGAGGGAACCCGACGAAAACGGGTTGCACCCCTTCTTCATCCATCAAGTAGGGGTTGTGAATCATCTTGCCTGGACCTTCAGCTCCTGAAATTACACCAGCCTCGGCCCCAAACAGCAAAAAAAACGTGACAGGTCTGTATAACCCAAAAAAAGGCTTGGCTCCTTCATGTAAGGTGCGAAATTGATAAGCTTATGCGAGCAACACATAGTTACAATCAGTCTATGTATGTCCCTGTAGGAAGTCCCCTTTTTTGGGAAGAGGATCCATCTCCTTGACGCCGGTTAAAAGCATCGATGTTGTTCATCGACTTTGAGGAGGAAAATGCCATGTCAATGCCATGTTCGAGAGTGAAGGCTTTAGGGGTTCGGGGTGAATCAACCTAACACCTGGCAATAATCAACGGAAGTTTCGAAGGAACTCGTAGCACGGACACTCAATGCACTTTTCCATCACCGCAGCATTTGGTGGCCGTCTCGCTACTCTGCTGAAACTTGCGCATCAGTCTCAGCAGCTTGCGGCCGAGACTGGGCACATGCCACTTCTGGTTGCTATCTTCTTCTCGAGCTCGGTTAAAGGTCTTGCCACAAGCAAAGCAAGAGAGAACTTGCATAAACTTGCAGACTGCGGCGTTAGCAACTCTTATTAAGTGTCGAAACATGGCCATGACCGTGTGTTGCAATTACCACATTGAGAACCAGAGCCACCGTTCCGTAATGTTGCTGGGGAATTCGCCACGCACGCAGGGTGTCCAGCAGCACCGAAACCTTTTGCGAGAACGGGTCGTCGAATCGAATGTTCAAGGCGTAGTGGAGGCAAAGCTGTGTCGTCAAAGAAGAAGTGGATGGGCCATGTCTTTAGCACGTGTTGCTTCGGTGAGCGATGGTCTTGATGCTATCAGCACATCCCTCCAGCTTGGCTTCCCGACAAGCCACGTATGCTGCGAGCAAGTAAAGCAGAATCTTGTCCAGAGCTGCCAAATTCACGTCGAGATCTCGGAAAAGAACGTTGATTGCGAGAATGGAATGGATTTGCTCGGATTTCCAAAATACTCACTGCGGGAGGCTAGCACAAGCGCCATGCAACACAGCTCACGTTGAACCGTTTTGGTGTTCCATGGGTCCAGAGACTGTAGGGAAGCTAGCGCCTCAGAGAATGATAATGGCACCTTACGACGACCCCATGAAACTCTTGAGCCCTCGCACTTGCAAGCCCGCGTCCATATTGCGGAATATGTGGAAAACAAGGCTGAGAAATCTGTCTTCAACCCTTCTGTCAGGAGGCAACGAGATATGTCAAAGCCGCGAGCTTGGCATCACGAAGGTGTGAAATGCTTCAGCAAAATGCGTTTGTCAGTGGGACTGGATTACATAGGTTGCAAAGAGGAAAAAACGTCGCAAGCGAAAGACTGGACTAAACACTGGCAACAAGATAGGAGGCAAGGTTTACAACAGCACTGCCAACAAGAAAGGGTGCTCGAACTACAGTGATGCTACCAAGAGGAAACTAGAAGATGGGTGGCCCGAAAGCATGAGCAGTGCACGGCGCCAAGTATACCTAGCAAGTTCTCTGCGCAATGTTCCTCTGAGCAAGTTGTTGGCGCGAGTTCCTTTGAGCAAGTTCTCCAAGCAAGTTCTTGGCACAAATTATCTGAGCAAGTTCTCAGAGCAAGTTTCTCTGAACAAGTTTCAATGAGCAAGTTGTCTGAGCTGCTACTGGCTTGCGCCATGTTGCTAGTGGCATCTTGCTAGTGGAACTCGCTAGTGCTACTTGCTAACGCAACTTGCTTGCGCAACTTGCTGCTGTCATCCGCTGGAGGTCTTTCCTGCAGCGCTGTCGCCTAGAGCCCCCCCTCCGCCCGCTTCATACGATTTTGGCTAAGATGGTGGCTGGCCCGCGCAAGCCCTCTTGTTGCTTCGCTGGTAAAATGCTTAGTGGAGCCGTGCCCCTTCTCCATTCCAAGGGTTTGTTGCCTCGGAGCAAAACCGTCAACGAAACCGTCGACTTCTCTGTGGCTCATCACCATCACACTCATCATCACCCTCCTTCTCCTCATCATCATCCTCATCGTCATCCTGACCCTCATCACCATCATCATCATCGTCACCACCTTCATCAGCCACAGAATCAACAGAATCCTCTTCATCCACCCTCATCATCACAGCGCTGCAAAAGTCCAAGCCAAATGCTTTGTGTAGCCCGAAACCCTCAATTGTCTGCCACTTGTCCACCTGCGCACCTGCGTGGCCAGCGCTTGCAAATGCCAGCCCAGTCTGGTCAACTCCACGAATGCTTTCAGGATCCAAGCGATATTTCTTGTTAGAAGATGTCAGAAGGCACCAGCCGGAAAAATGCCAACAGGAAAAAATGTCAGTTTACACCTTGTCCCCGCCACAAGTCCGACAGCGCTAAGTGTGTCTCCGCTGTCGATGCAAACCTGCACTTGACCAAGAAGCGCGGCACTGGCTTCCAAAAAGCAGCTCAGTATCCTGAGCAAAGCAATCAGCCGGATGTCCCAGTATATTTGTCATCGAGAAAACAAACACATTAAAGGCTCGACAGGGCTCTGCTGATGTGCCACAAGGATGCAAACCTGCAGTTGGCCACGAAGTGCGGCACTGACTTCCAAAAAGCAGCTCAGAATCCTGAGCAAAGCAATCAGGCGGATGTCACGGTATTTGTTTATCGAGAACAACAGTACATATTCAAGGGGGCTCTGCTGATGCACCAGAAGCACTGGCTTCCGAAAAGCAGCCCAGAACCCTGAGCAAAGCAATCAGGCGGATGTCACAGTATATGTGCTTTTGAACAAGATGGAGGGCTCTGCTGATGCGCCACAAGGACGCAAACCTGCAGTTGACCAAGAAGTGCGGCGCTGGCTTCCACAAAGCAGCTCAGTATCAGCCGGATGTCACGGTATCACATATTTAAGACTCGACAGGGATCTGCTGATGCGCCACAAGGATGCAAACCTGCGCTTGACCAAGAAATGCGGCGCTGGCTTCCAAAAAGCAGCTCAGTGTCCCGAGCAAAGCAATCAGCCGGATGTCACAGTGTATTTTTTAATTGAGAAACATAGACATGTTTAGGGCTTTACAGGGCCCTGATGGTGCGCCACAAGGATGCAAACCTGCACTTGGCCAAGAAGTGCAGCGCTGGCTTCTAAAAAGCAGCTCAGTTTCCTGAGCAAAGCAATCAGCCAAATGTCACGATTTGTTTGTCTATCGAGAAAAATAGACATATTCAAAGCTCAACATTGCTTGCTTCTAGCTCCAACGATGCTCCACAAGGATGCAAACCTGCGCTTGGCCAAGAGAGAGGCACATCCTTTGCACACAGGCTAACAGCAAAATCTGCGACATGCCCTTCCCCACTGCAAGTCGTTCCTTCTGACTTCGAATCTATGTTTCTAGCTGGACTGCTTTTGATGCTTCTCAGTTGCGCTTGCGCGCTGCTGCCACGTGAGCCGAAGGTAGCCGAAGGGAGCCGAACGCCGGTCACTGGATGCCAAGCAAGCCAGGTCAGCCTGAAAACTGGGTAAGACCCCGGAGCCAGCGTCACAGCATCTGGCATCCGACCGCAGAGACTGGGAGACAAAAGACAAGCGGGAGACACGACGCAGCGTCTGGCATCCGCGGGAGACACGACCCCGAACCAGCGTCACAGCATCCGGCATCCAACCGCAGAAACTGGGAGAACACAGGGAGATGAGACTGGGAGACACAGGGAGACAAGTGCAGACACAACCCCGGAGCCGGCGTCACAGCATCGGGCATCTGACCGCGAGACTGGGAGACACAGGAAGACAAGCGCGAGACGACCCTGGAGCCGGCGTCACAGCATCGCAGAGACTGCGAGACACAGCATCTGGCCTCCAGACACAGGGAGACAAGCGGGCGACCCCGGAGCCACACAGGGAGACGAGACTGGCAAGGCGTCACGCATCTGACCGCAGAGACTGGGAGACAGACAAGCGGGAGACAACCCCGGAGCCGAGACAAGCGGGAGAGACGACCCCGGAGCCAGCGTCACAGCATTGCAGAGACTGCGAGACACAGCGTCACAGCATCTGGCATCTGACCGCAGAGACTGGGAGACACAGGGAGGACAAGCAGGAAACACGAGAGACACAGCAAGACAAGCGGGAGACACGACCGTTACAGCATCTGGCATCTGACCGGAGAGACTGGGAGACAGGAAGACAAGCGGAAAACAGGACCCCGGAACCGGCGTCACACTTTCCCATTCTCTATACCTCAAGTTAGAACCCCAATGCTTCGCTGTTTGGGGAAAAAGAGAGAGAGAGAGAGAGAGAGAGAGAGAGAGAGAGAGAGAGAGAGAGAGAGAGAGAGAGAGAGAGAGTAGTTTCCGCCTTTGACTGAAAAATCGTGAAATCGTCGCACTTTTTGCCCCGCCAAAACCTCAAACTCCTAAAATAGGGCACTCTTGCAATGCTCGCGGCCTTTGACAGATTCAAGGAAGCTTTGCAGGGGCAAACAGCTTGATGCAGCCCGCAAGTTTGTCAAAACATGCAACGGCGGTCCAACGTTGTGCGGTGCAGAAAAAAAGGTACCTATTTTGACCGCAAAATGCCCGCAAATGTCCGCAATTTCCTGCAAACACCCGCAAACTCCCGCAAATCAGAAAAACAACTGTTTTTCTCAATGCATTTTATGGTGTTCACTGGCACGTTGGCAAGTGCTGCGAGGTGTATTTGCTTGGATGGCCAATGACTGAAACGACGCAAATCGTATGTGTTTCTGCTCAATTGTAGCTAAACCACTGGAATGCGGTAAATCGTAGGATCTCCTAAAACACCAAGACATCTCCCGCAGTTTGAAGGTCCAGGTGGTTCCCATTACCCATACAAGGTCTGCTACAAACCCCTTACTACAAAAGATACCCAGAAAACATTAAGCTAACAGGAAGTTCCCACAAAACTGACCGCCCCAATCTTGCTGTTCAGTAGGGAATCACAAGGGTTTTGCCTAGGCATCCACAAGGGGTGGGAGCCTCGAAATGCGATCTGAATGAGCAACTTTGGTCTCCCTTAAAACCCTAAAATAGAGGATCAACGTCTTGGAGCTTCGAATAGGTTGTTTCTCCATTGTTTTCCTTCAAACCCTCCACAGAATGGGGAGTCCCTCAGAAAAGGAACCCCCACATAATTATGGCCTTCCTTTTTGTTTCCCTCCAATCCCTCCAGTTCCCTTTGACTTCCCCTCAACACATCACCCCTGCCAAGGGAAGCTCACCCTAAATGGGACATAAAGGTGACAGGTTAAAACCAAAACCACCCCCACGGCGGCAACGCACCTGAACTTAAATCATAATTAGCTCAAACAAGGCGATCTTAAACCCACCCAGGAAATATATGGGGGGCTCTGAGCTTCTCTTAAAGTGGTGCTTTGGATTGGTGCTGTGGTTAGTGTGAGGAAAGATATCCCTGCTAGTTTCTTTGTCTGACTCCGAATTGGTGCTTCGGATTGGTGGTTCGCATGTGGACATATTTGTGGGGTAAAGTTTGGACATGGTTTCCTCAAACAAATCCTCGCCCATCCCCATTTTGAATATGGGTGCCCCCGCAAAAAAGTGGTTTTCCCGATAGGGGTTCCCTGAGCGCCCCGCTTGGCTGACCAAATCCCGTTCGCCTCTGCGCGTTTCTCCAGGATCAGGTCATAGACCTGCACCTCGCTCTTCTTCTCACCCATCTGCCGGATGCTCTCCTCGGGGATTTTGGAAAACAAAAAACCCAAGGGTCCAGCACCCTTGGCTGGAAATAGGACCCCAGCAAAAAACATATTATTTTTTGGCCTGGTTGTGGAAAACAAACCAGGCCCCCCCCGTTGTGGAAAACAAAGGGAACCCCAAAAAAGCAAACAAAATAAAAAGAGGAACAATTCTGGGGAAGCACCCGGGCCCAAAACAACCACTGCTTTTTGGTTCCAGTACTGGGATTTTGGACATGGTTGGAACAGCAGGCAGGTTGGAGGGTGCTGGAAAACATGTCAGTGGTGTCAAAATTGGGGGATAGCTTTCCTTTTGATTTCCCTAGCAACAAACCTTAAAGAGGCTATCACAAAACACGCGCCCATCTGCAATGCATTTGCAATGATTGGAATGCAAACGCGGCGAAAGGCTCAGTCGGCGTTTCAAAAGAGGCTCTGCAAGGGTAGCGGATTGAACAGACTCCCCCAAAAACAAATTCGAGAACCGAAATGCTCATAAGGGAACCGTTGTAGCCGCGCCTTTTGGCGAGACGGGCCACGCCAATGGCCTTGTTGCTTAAGCCTAGACTGGATGTAGCTCCCCGTATGCATGCTGGTCCGGCTTACCCAAAATTGAAATGCATCATACGCATCTGGGTGCATTGGAACACAAATAAGGGTTTCCTAAGGCGCCCTCATGATGGGTAAGGTCAAAAACAGGATCCCTTGTCATTGTCAGGATGTCGCTATATTTTGTCCAACTACATGATTGCTCCGTTGACTTACCAGAAATGAGCACATGTAAAGGAGAAACGGCCCCCAACCTTTTGGATGCGAAGAGATAGTTCCCCCTACCGGATTTTGGGATGGGGACAACATCACTTCTGAGTGCTTCAGGTCAAAGCCATGCGGGCCGCGGTCCAAATCAAGCTCCTCGGCCCCTTACCATTTACCCACTCCAACATAGGACAACTCCAAGCATAGGCCCAAACACAAACAGTGCCTCAAAATGAGCGAAACCACCGCTGCGCGTGCCCTCACTGGCCACAAACTAAAAAGAACAAGGTTCCAAACTGCAGACACAGAACCCTGATAAGGTTACCCCAAGTGCCTCTTTTCTGGATTGGTGCAGTGCAAGGACAACAAATCAGTTGGGCACCCTCAGGTGGCTTGGGTGCTCCTAAAACCCATTCCACACCTCAAGTGTCGAAAACTGGACTTCAAACTGGTATACATCATCTTCTTATCATGAAATGTCACAAAGGAGGGGCTCGCCCAAAAAGCGCTTGTGGAGCATGATGGAGCATGACAGGTGGACACACAACAGGCCCCAAACGCTCCAAACGCGCTTGGAGGCCAAAACCGCTGTCGGGCGTCGGTAGCGACCTGGATCTTCTTGCACCTCTCCTCAGGGAGCTGGCCAAGATCGGTGTGGCTTGAGGGCCCCCCGCCCACCCGCCCCCAAAAATGGAGAAAACAGGGGGCCTGGGGGGTGGTCTGTTGAGGGTTGCCTGTTCTGGTTTTTATGTTCATCTCAAATCTGTGTTCCCCCTTATTCGTTTTTAAAAGAGGGTTTTTGGGGAGCTTATTTATCGTTTTCGTTAAGGTAATCATTTGGGTAATTTCTCGCCTTGTTCATTGTTGGGCTAGGGGCAAACATTTTTTTCATTTGAAAGAGTTGACCCTTTTAGTAGTTATCAAGTTCTGGGGTGTTGGTGGTGTATTTGTTTTCTCTTTCTCTCCCTCGTCCTTCCGCCACGTTGCATCGTCATCATCATCAACATCTTCGGTCTTGCCGGGCTGCCCAGATTTTGTGAGCGGAAACAATCTCACCGTGCAAGAGACTTGTTCGCTGAGATGACTATGAGTTTTCTTGCCGTCAGCCTTTTGTAGTGTATCTGAGTAAGCCCCTGACTTAACTCATTGGCAACTGTCATCATGTCACCGAAGAAGACGACTGACGGTGGCTATGTTCAGAAAGAGCAGGAGAAACAGCCAGAAGTTCCCGAAGAGGAAGCAGAACAGTCAGAAGAAGAGGAAGCAGAGCAAGCTGACGAAGAGGTGGATGCACTGGCTCAGTTGATGATGGCTCAAGACCTTCTCGGCACGGTGAGCCTCTCCAGTGACGCTAATCTGACAGAGATTCACAACGCTTTGCTGGACAAAATCAATGAGATGGAGGACATCAAGAAGGCTGTGGAAGTTGAACAGGGCATCCGTCAGAAGGCTCAGAAAGAGGCCACTCGCAAGGCAGAAGTGGCAAAGGCGAAGGCTATCAAAGACAAGGAGAACAAGGACAAGCGCAGTGGTCGAGTGGTACAAGATTGTGACGCCGTCAGGCAGGGTGCTCACGCTCTTTCTGGACAAGTCCAAGACGCTGGGACGGCTCCGTAAGAAGGCAGTCAGGGCATGCAAGGAGTTTGACATGGGCAGTGGCAAGAAAAAGAAGAAGTGGAATAGCATCTGTCTGGTGCTCCCAAGCGGGAAGAACCTGACGGCAAAGAGCGGTCGCCCCTTCCTATACAACCAGAATGAGTTGTTGAACCAGAGGGCGCTGTTCATCATGTGGGAGGAGAACTTCAACACAGGCAACTACCCACAGCCCTTGAACCTTCAGGTCAGCATGGACCATGAGGAGGATGATGAGAACACAGATGACGAGACAGACAGCGACGACGATGAGTGAGTGAAGTCTCACAGTTCAGCCCACATAGCCTTGTGATTGATTTCCTCTATGGCTTCCGAAAGCATCGTTGTGAGTAGAAGCAACACCACCATCTAGAATAGAGATGTCTCACTTGGCTTTGGCACAGACCATCCATGACCGTGGAAAAGGCTATTTGATGCAGAGCATCAGCTGTGTCAATTGTGTGCACCAACTGTGTCAATTGCTTTTTGTTGTTACATCTCGAGTTTAGGAAGCTGAGAACACTTCATCAGTCAAGCTGTGAAGACATCCCAATGGCACTCGTTGTTGTCAAGAAGAACGGCTTCCTCACCCTCAAGGTTGTCAACAACGCCCTTGGCAACATTCCTGTGGTGGATTGTGACAGTGACCTTCACGCTGACCTGACCGTCCCGACACTTCTCAACTTGACCAGTTGCTCTCGCCATTGCTTGGAAAACGTCATGAGGACTGCAAACCTCCAGATGTTGGCAAGGGACAACAAGCAGACTTTGGCTCAATCAATCTTGGACAACTGGGACGACGTTGTGATTGCCTTTGCCCATCTCAACCATTGCCGTCCTGTCTTGAACCCCTTTGTGTTGTCTGATGCAGAGGAGGAAGCAGAGGAGGAAGCAGAAGAGGAAACAGAGGAGGAAGCAGAGGAGGAACAGCAACCACATGCTCGCCCAGTCCTCCAGGAAGAACCGCTTGAGGATTTCGCCTTTGACGAGAAGGCTGGTTCTTCTGGTGTTGCACTGGCTTCTGTACCTATGTCCGCTCTCTTTCACTTGGACGGCGCTAACCTGAACGGTAGTGAGGCGGTCGTTCGGCCTTACCACCTGTCCTTGAAGATTCCCACCAAAGATGGCTTCGTCACTGTGGGTTACTTCTTCGACGCGCAGACCACTGGCATAGACATGCTCCATCTGCTTGACGCTCTCTCTGGTGGTGTTCTCAACCTGCAGAACACCCTCATCAAGATGGGTGAGAGCATTGTGCCGAATTACGAGAGCATCTTCTCCTACTGCAACAACGGTGGCACTCTTTGCGTGGTTCCTAAAGTCCAAGGAGGTGTCCGTGGGCGTGTTACAAAGAAGTACCTCAAGCGGGAGGATGCAATGGCGGAGTTGCGGAAGTCCATCAAGGTCAACATCAAAGGCAACAGGTCTGACGACAGTCCAGATTTGGAGGGCTTCCCACAGTGCTTCAAAGAGTTCGTGCAGGAGACCAAGCAGAAAACAAATGAACTCAGCATCATTCGCCAGAGGATGGGCGAGGGCTTTGTCAACACCTGCCTCCGTCAGTGCGACATGGAGAACTTGCGTCTCCTTCATGACATCATCACCTGCAAGGGCAACGGCAAGAAGCACCTCTCCACGGAGGAAAAGATAATCAAAGGCATGAACCATGTCTTCCCTCCGCTTTCCTTGCTCGACCAAGCCAAGACCACCATCCAGACTGTCAGGGAGGATTGCCTTGCAGAAGTGATGGAGTTGTTCCTGACTGACTACCACAAGTATGAGAACGGAGAGACGTTCATCGACTTGAAGGAGTTCACCCGACAGGTGGAGGTGGAGATTGGACGGAGGTCGTCTGAAAGTGTCCCACATGCAGACCTGTCATCTTCGGGATGCTTCATTCAGTGAGAGAATTCAGTGTGTTGTGTGGAGGCATGGTTAGAACTGCACAGAAACCATGCAAAGACCAAGTAGAAACCATGTGGATGTGTGTCTCAGAAAAAAAGCCTCGCTGTGTGAGCCAGACCTTGCTGTGTGAGCCAGACCTTGCTGTGCGAGCCAGACCTTACTGTGTGAGCCAAACCTTGCTGTGTGAGCCTGACTGTATTGTGTGAGCCAGACCTTGTTACTTGAGCCATTCCCCCCTTAATTGGGGAGTTCGCCCCCCTCAATTGGGGAGTTCGCCCCCCTTGATTGGGGAGTTCGCCCCCCTTGATTGGGGAGTTCGCCCCCCTCAATTGGGGAGTTCGCCCCCCTCAATTGGGGAGCTCGCCCCCCTTAATTGGGGAGTTTACCCACCGTTTCTCCTTTTGGTAATCTCCGCATTTGACCCACGCCGAGGTTGGGAAGACATGCTGACCTTCGCCTATGTGACTGTCGCCTTTCAGGCTTTGGTGGTGGGAGGGTTTCCCATAACAAACTCCTAATCACTTGTAATACACCCCATCAAAACAAACAAACAATTATTTCACTTATCAACTCGGGAGGAACCCTATACAGTTCATCTTGTTTATGTTTGATGTATCCCTCTCCCCAACTGTCCCTTTTTCCTGAAGGTAAACGTTGTGCTGTTTCAACATGTTTCCCATTCCTAATTTTCCCACAATCCCTATTACATAATGGTCTGGGTTTCCATGTTTCAATGTTTGACCACAACCTCGTTCGCTTCCCGTAGTTCATGCCATATTTACAATAATCCACATCATAGTATTTCAACCCACTCATGAATGGTTGTTCCTTCAAAAGTCCAGTTTGAGGATTTTCCACAACCCACCACTTCGGTTTGAAGTAGTCAATGATTTCAAGGGTTTTCAAAACGATGCTGTTAGCATACTCAATCTTTCGGACGTCCGTCGTCTTCGCTCGACTGTATTCGGTGCTTGGAGGAGATGCCCACACAACATCAAACTCGCCCACACCAAACTCTTTATAATCCCAACTCAAAATATCAGTATTGATATTTGCATTTTTCAAATCAAGGGAAATAACACTAAAACCCAAATCCCGAGCAACCCGACCAACCGAGCCTGTCCCTGAAAATAATTCTAATAATTTCATATTATTAGAACTATTTAGATAATTTTTTTATGGAGTAATGTCGCGAAGCTCATTAGGCTATTACTTTGTAATAGCGTAATGTCCATATGGTAATGAAGTGAAAGCATCAATATAAAACCTTTTGTTTTCATAATTACTGAGAGATTGCTTGACTTGAGACATTGAATATATTTGATGTGACTTACTCCTGATGAAGTTATATGTGATTTCGTGCTTTTTGTTTTGAAATAATGCTTCGTGATAGTTCTGATACGACAGTTCTTTTTTCACTTTGTGTTTCACTACACCTTTTGATTTCTTATGTTCATCATCCTCACCATGAATTGTGAAGGCATATGATTTAGGTTTTAATCCAATGAATTTAGTAATGATTTTTCCATTCACTTCGTCCTTAAACATTCCTAAGACCTTCTTATTAGTTTTGTCATGACATGGATGCTCAACAGGATAGTCGCTAAAATCCATGTGTTGCTTTATATCATTGAAATCCTTATAGACATCATCAGTCATTGTTTGAATTACATAACTGTCAGTATCGGTATAAACCAGTTTTATGTTTTCATTATACTTCTTTTTCAATACATCATAGTAAAACTGATACATATGTAATTTGCTTAAATCTAAAATGCTCATTCCCAGAAAAATCGGTTTATCCAGTTTAAGTTTCGCTTTAGTTTTTTCAACTCCCACCAGATTTTCATTTATAATAAATCGGTTTTTGAATGTTGGGTTATTCACGCATTTTTCATATCTTACCTCATTATCAACTAATTCAAAATCCATATGGTTTCGCTTGTCTTCCATAGTTTTTCCGTACACCGCGTTATTCATTAATTTAAATAAATCTTTCTCAAAATCGCTTTTCGCTTCTTTCCTTTTACCAGTGTTAAAGTCAATCCACGGTTTCAACCATGCCCTCTGTTTAAACTTTATTATCCTATGAA